GGATATACAAGAAAGAGGGGGGCTGAAAATGCCCAATTTAAAATTATATTATGAAGCAGCTGTCTTATCAGCAATTAGTGATTGGATTAATTTAACAAATGGAAGGATTCTGAACATTGAAGGGCATGATTTGGTTTACGGCTGGCATGCCTACTTAGTGTATGATAAAAAGATGGATAGAGCATTTAAGAGCCATATATTGAGGAATGCTTTATTGCGTGTCTGGAAGAAATATCAATATAAGTTAAATGAAAAGATACCTATATGGACAGTACCCAGGCACGCAATAGAGAATACGAGTATAGAAAGCAGACAGGATATAATTACATATATAGATATTCTTAATATGGAGGGAGGTATACTAAAATTAAAACCTTTGAATGTGTTGAAAGAGGAGAAAATAATTCAAACTTGGTTTCAGTATGTACAACTACAAGCCAGATGGAGAAAAGATCAGAAAATTGGTATTACACAAAGCGATGAAAATTTAATAAAACAAACTAGAGATCAAAGTTCAATGCATATAAAAAGATTGTATAATATATCGATAGAGATAGACTCGGAAACAGAGCTAGTTAAAGATTGTATGATAAAATGGGCGCAGAATTTTGAACAACCAATAATGATGGAAGTATGGGAAAAAATATGGGTAAGAAATGTGAAATTACACAAGTGCAAAATTTAAGGGAGAACTTTTATAAAATGTTTTATAGATGGCATCTAGATCCAAAAAAACTATCTTGTATGTACAACCAAAATGTTGGAGATGTGATTGTGAGGATGCTACATACTTTCATATTTGGTGGACATGTAAAAAGGTTAGAGCGTTCTGGATAAAAATTTGGTGGATTTTACAAAATATTCTTAAAAAGAGGTTAAAATTTAGACCACAATTGTTTCTGCTGGGTATAGTTACGGATTGTACGGTTATAGAGACTAATTTGATTTTGAATTTAATAACTGCAGCAAGATTGTTGGTGGCACAATATTGGAAGAAGCAAGATTTACCTACAATCCAAGAATGGACAATGAAAGTAACAAACCTAGTGGAGATGGCAAAAATCTCGGCGTACTTGAAGGAACATTCAAGTGAAAGATACCTAAGGGACTGGAGAAGATGGATAGATTATATCCAAAGTAAATATCGGAATAAGAAGTTGCAGATACTTGAAAGCAAGGCAGGTTTTGAGATAGTACCAAAGGTCAAATATCTAGGAGTTCAAGTTGCAGAATCAAATATGAAATTGTTCCAAAATAATTATGAGGTGTTGTGGCGAGACGTACAGAAAGATATGGAGACCTGGAAAAAACTGCAGCTGTCTTTACTTGGAAGAATAGCAGCAGTTAAGATGAACATTTTGCCAAAATTTCTTTTTTTGTTTCAAATGATTCCGGTGCTTAAAAGTGATAAACAACTGAGAGAATGGCAAAGAGGACTGAATAGGTTTGTCTGGAATGAGAAAAAGCCGAGAGTTAAACTGAAAATTATGCAAGATGTTCCAGAAAGGGGAGGCCTTAAACTTCCAAACCTACAATTATATTATGAAGCAGCAGCTTTGACGCAAGCAAGTGATTGGTTTGGAAGGAAAAAGACTGGAATATTGAATATAGAAAGTTTTGATCTTGAATTTGGTTGGCATGCTTACTTATTTTATGAGAACAAAGTGGATAAAGTATTTAAAAGTCACATACTTAGAGACTCTTTGATGAGAGTTTGGAAGAAGCACCGACTCAAATGGGATTACAAAATACCGTTATGGCTGGATCTTGGTCATATCATGTGGAATACAAATATAATGTCACTCGGGGGGGGGGGGGTTATATAAAGAAGTTCTTTTTACAGATGCGGGCAGATGGCAACTGAAGACTTTAGAAACGCTGTTGGAAGAAGGGATTAATTTAACTTGGTTACAGTATAATCAACTTTAATTGAGATGGAAAGAGGACCAAAAAACTGGTATAATGATGCATGAGGAAGAATTGGTTAGACATATAAAAGAGAAAGGTCCAATGCATATTAAAAGGGTTTATAATGTTTTGTTAGAAAGGGATTCAGAAACTGAATTGGTTAAAGATTGCATGATAAAGTGGGCACAAAATTTTGCAGAACCAGTGATGTTGGAAACATGGGAAAAAATATGGGTTCAGAATGTTAAATTTACACAGTCGCAGAATTTGAGGGAAAATTTTTATAAAATGTTTTATAGATGGCATTTAGACCCTAAGAAATTGTCGTGCATGTACCCTAATGTTCAACCAAAATGCTGGAGATGTGATTGCCTAGATGCCACATATTATCATGTGTGGTGGACTTGTAAGAAAGTGAAGGCTTTTGGGATAAAAATTTGGTGGGTTATGCAGAATGTTTTGAAGAAAAAAATTCAGTTTTCTCCACAATTGTTTTTATTGGGTATAGTTAAGGGTTTTACATTGGGTGAAACAAAGTTGATATTGTATATGATAACAGCAGCGAGATTACTGATCGATCAATATTGGAAAAATGAAGCTATGCCTACTATTGAGGAATGGACTTTGAAGATGGCCAGCTTTGCAGAGATGGCGAAGATTTCAGCATATTTAAAAGATCGCTCACAAGAGACTTATGTATGGGAGTGGAAAAAGTGGATAGATTATGTGCAGAATAAATATCAAACTAGAAAATATCAGATAGCTTTTAACTGAAAGTATTATATAGAGATAGAATATTTGAATTTTGTGAAGATGTGAAAAATATACAGGGGGTGGAGGGGTTCAAGTTTTATAAAAAGGGGATTTTGATTTGGATTATATTTTGTGGAAGTCCGGGGGGGGGGGGGGGGGGTAGGGGGGGGTAGGGGGGGGTAGGGGGGGGTGGGGGGGGGGAGAAACTGGGGAGAAAATGTAATTGTAAAACTTTTTCAATAAAAAAAAAAAAGAAGTTGCAGATAGGTTATGAATAAATATGTAGACATTTGGTGTGTTTTTAGGTAATTAAGTTAGCAGGGTAATTAGGGAATTGAAGGAATAAGAGATGCTGAATGTTATAATTATTTAGATTAGGATGGATTATGATTGTTGAATGTTATACCCTGTAATCTGTTCTGGGAAGAGGGGGGGAGGTGGGCGGATGGGAAGGGGAAGGGGTGTGGGGAGGGGTGGTGGGGGTAAGGGAGGGGAGGGGGTGGGGGTGGAAGGGAAGGGGGGGAATAAATATGTAAACCTTCTGTAAAACTTTTTAATAATAAAAAAAAAGCGAGACAAGCTTCCTAATTTTCATCTGCCAGGTATTCCCAGCAACCTAGCATTTTTTGTACTAAAAGAATAGCAAAAAAAAAAAAAAGCTTGTTCAACTTCCTGCATGACACTTATCTTCCATGCACCCACCCCACCAAAAAAATCAGCTTCTTTAGGGATAATGGACAGTTTTGAGCAAGGCCACGAGGAAAAGAATTAACCCCCTAACTTTGGTGGTGTTCCCATTATTTGTTGACAAAATACCAGTAGATCTTAAATCTTTCTTTCTTAAAAAACAGTTTTTGTTTCATCATCCCATTTCCACTCCAGAAGTAGTTCATCTTCTGCTGAATTTTGCAATGGGTTTCTAACTTACCTTTAGGAGGATATTTATTCCAATAAGTAGGATGCTTGTAGTTGGTAATGCAAAGTTATGTTATTGATGATTTTACAGGCTACACTAAAATACTTGCTCCAAAATACTATCATTCTGGTTCTTATGAAGGATGATAACAAACAGAAAAATGTGTACAGTATGTGTACACTGGACTCAATGGCCCTTCACTTAGAGAGTGAAACTTTTTTACACATCACATTTGTGCGGAGATATCACCATTCTGAGACTCCCCATCTTGAGCTTTAACAAACATTTAACTTCTTCCAAAACATCTACGAAAGTAAACAAAAAATCTATGGATTTTGCATTCTTGTTTCTATAACCATTTTCTTATAAAATTTGGAATCATGAAGCATAATCTCAGTTGAATTGCTGAAATAGGAATGCATATGCTGAAGCATCAACATGTAATTTCCCCAAATCCTCAGGAAAATATTACCTGAAAGGGCGCCCCACTTAAATCAGGGCCTTTGTTTTGGATTAGAATCCAGGGCAGCAACTCTATGCACACCTATTATGAACAAACTACCATATTCCCTTAAACAAAGTTTTAAGTAATATTTCAGTTTTATACACTGTCTGGGAAGAGATGTTAATCAATAGGGATTAAGGAAGGTAAGTAAATGCCTCATCAAAAGATATGTTCATTATTGCAGGGGATATCCACATTTCTTTGTTGTGTATAAATCCCTAATGGGAGTTGTTAAACTGAGATTTTATTGAATTAGCTTAAAAAATAAATCAAGTTTAAATCAGTATATTTGTTATAGTCATCTAGTCAAAATAAATATGCATAGGGTCCAGCTGGACTCCTAATGGCCAGCCAATGTTTTTTTTTTTCTAGAATGGCCCTTGGAGGTCACATAGTACATTCTGTACCTGGTGCAGGGTTCTCAAAGAAGGGGCTTTACATACAGTACTGCATTGGATTCTGTGCAGGATTAAGAGGGAAAAGTTCACTCAAATGCAGCCAAGTTTGTACCAAATAACTACAGAATTTTAACTATTTCATGGCCTCCAAAAGTTGAGCAACTTGTTCTACCACCTCTATGCCCACCAGTCTAGACCTCTAGCAAGGAGAATGCCAGCATTTCATGTGAGATCCCATTCCACTGGCCTACAGTTTTATAGTCAAGTTGTTCTTCCTGACATCAAGAGCAGAGAGTTCACATGCTCCATTCCAAACATTACCCAAGAGCCTCCACCCTTAAAATGTCACTGCCTACACGAAGAAAATTGTGCGGCTTTCTAAGCAGCAGCAAAGGTGGGGAACGTTCCGCCGCTGCTTCCTCCGGGACCTGTTCCTGTTCCCAGGGTAGCCTGGCAAGCGGCTGTCCGCATTTCCCAGCCGGAGGCCCTCTCTCCGGGCCCCCGCCCCCGCCCCACTCACACTTGAGCCAACGTGCCCCGGCTTGGGTGTCCTTGTCCTGGATGAGCCTTTTGTGCGCACAGCGGCGGCAGAGGTACCAAGCCATCCAGAGGAGCTGCAGCGCCATGAGGGAGAGGAGGTAGGCCAGGACGGCACTCTTGGCCACCCCGACAGCGTGCACCGCCCAGGCGAACATCAACAGCAGCCCGGCCAGCAGGAGATGCAGCCCGTACTGGCTGCTCAGTGTCTCGGCGCTTTTTTGTGGACAGCTTCGTCCGCTCCCGGACAGCAGAGGCCATCGGCGGTCCTCGCCCCCTCTGGGGCGCTGGCTTGGCGGAGGCTGGGGTTCCTCGACCGCCCTCTCCAGTTCCCAGCCATCCGCCGTGGAGCTGGTCTGGGCGCGGATTTTTGGGCCGGTCGAGGCGGACTCGAAGTGACTTCTTTGGAGACCCATGGGCGAGAAACGCTTTTGCCCGGAGATGCCTACTGTTGGAGGGCCGACGGGTGCGGGCCAGCTCAGCACGGAAGCATCCCCGGAGCGGAGAGGCGGCCAGGCGCACCTGCCTATGTTCCCAGGGGCCGCGCTTCGCCAATTGCTCTCCCGGCGGAGACGTCCTCCGCTCTTTGGGCCCTTAGAAGGCGGATTGACGGACGGAAAGCGCTCTCGGTTCCGGCTCAGCAGCAAGACCTCCCCGTCGCGGCCGCCTTCCTGCTCTACTGTCTGCTATCCTCCTCAAGAGGTTCCTTTCCCAGGACTGTCTCCGCGGAGTATTTATGGGGTGGAGAAGCCGCAGAGCCATTGGGCGGGTCGCTGAAAGCATCGGGTTTCAGTCACCGTAGATTCTGGGCTGCGACCCCTTTTCCTCGGCTCAACTGCGCCTGAAGGGAGACTGCTCCCAATGTCGGTTGGGTGAAGGCGGCGCTCCGGAGAATCTGCGCAGCTAGGTCGCTGGAGCAGAGAGGGAACCTGGACGGATAGGGACGCTCCTTTAAGGAAGACCGCAGCCGGTGCCCTCTGGCAGGGCGCCCCCAATAGACTGGTGTTTCTCGAAGGATCTCGGAAGGCGAGGAGCCGTTAGTAGGGACCGTTAGTAGGGACCGTCGGCTGACAATACTAAATATGACTTCATCAAAATATCAAATGATGTGACACGGATATTTATAACTTAAGTACTTCTCAAATTCAAGAAGATAAGGAACACAGAGAACAGGTTCATATGACAAATACACTTAGGCAGGAAAAACCGAAGGTACAAGTAGAGATTAGATGAAACCTGGCTCAAAAACAGTAACTGTAAGAGTAACAGTAACTTTGAGTCCTTTGGACAATCCCTTAAATATGAGCCAGCAGTGTGCAGCAGCAGCTTAAAAAGCTAATACAATCCTTGGTTGTATGAGGCATAGAATCAAAATCTCATGAAGTATTAATTCCATTTTATAAAGAACACACCTGGAATACTGCATCCAGTTTTATATTTATATTTTTCATTTTCACCCTGTATTTAAAATGGCAATCCAAAACCTAATCCCTTGTTATTCTCCTTACAAAATGAACTAGAACTGTGATAGCGAACCTATGGCATGTGTGCCAGAGGTGCATGCAGAGCTCTCTGTGGGCACGCGCACCATCACCAGCTGCTCTTCCAGGTTCCATCGCGCGCATGCGCACCAGCCAACTACTCTCTTCTGGGTTCCGTCATGCGCATGTGTGCTGGCCAGCTGGTCTTCACGCAAAGACCAGCTGGCCAGCGCATGCATGGAAGAGAGTAGCTGTCCAGTGCGCATGCACACGATGGAACCGGGAAGAGAAGCTGGCCGCCTTGTGCATGCGCACCAGCCAGCTGCTCTCTTCCAGGTTTCGGTGCTCCGGCGCATGCTCCGGTTTTAGAACAACCCTTGGTAACTTTCTTGTAGCTGCAAACCTGGAGTTTATTCTGTATATCTTATCAAGATCAAATTCTATTTCATTTTCCTCTTTATTAATTAAAGACAAAAAAATTATAGGCCAATTTCATTATTAAACAAGGGTTATAATTTAATTTAATTTAATTAATTTAATTATTTAATTAATTTAATTTAATTATTTAATTAATTTAATTTAATTATTTAATTAATTTAATTTAATAATTTAATTAATTAAATTTAATTTAATAATTTAATTTAATAATTTAATTTAATAATTTAATTTAATTTAATTGCCACCCCTCTCCGAAGACTCAGGGCGGCATATAAATTCTTATAAACTCTTCGCCACCATTCTGGTGGAAAGACTAAAGAAGATTCTACAAGCATATATACATGAAGATCAAGCAGTCTTTCTGCTGAAAAGACAGCTAAGAGATAATGTGAGGACTGTCTTAAATATTATTGAATACTTACAATTTCATAATGAGGAACAGGCTGCCTTAATATTTTTAGATGCAGAGAAGGCCTTCAACAACCTAAATTGGGCTTTTACATTTAAGTTGTTGGAAGAAATGGACTTTGGAGTAAATTTTATCCAAGGAACTAAAGCAATCTACACATAAATGTAAACATTGTTATAAATGATGATCTAATCTAAAAGGTGAAAAAAGAAGGGGTATAAATATTAACAAAGAAGTTTATAAATTGAGGGCCTTCGCTGATGATCTGGTTATATTTTTACATGACCCAAAAATAATATAGAATATTTGATGAGGAAATTGAATAACTTTGGGGCTTTGGCAAGTTTCAAAATAAACAAACAGAAACCAACAATGTTGATCAATATGCTTTCTCAGGATAGTGATATATTGAACAAAAACTCGGGTTTTAGGGTTGAGAAAAAGGTGAAATACTTGGGGGTTATGTTAACAAATACAAATATAAAATTGTTTCAAAACAATTATGTCCCTCTTTGGAGGAATATTAAACAGAATTTACAAAGATGGGATAAATTGCACATCACTATTGTTATGTCCGCGCAGGCGTGAGCAGAGACTTTTCTTCTGCCACGCAGGTGTGGGACATATTTTAATGTTATTGGTTAAAGGCTGATAGTTTTCCTTTAAAAGGGGCTATCAGCCGGAAATTGCATGCTGGTTTTACTGAGTCATTGTCTGTAATAAACATGGCTGTTTGAAGTTTGGCTTCTCCTCTGTATTCCTACTCCCACACATTCCAACTATTGATATCTATTATATCTCTGTAATCAAGATAAATATTTTACCAAAGATGCTTTTTTTTATTTCAAACCTATACCTGCCTCTCGACAAGTGCTACCAATGTTCCCCCATAGCCAACATAGACTTGTCATCATTAAGACAGGAATAAAGATACCTATTATTAGATCTATACCTCGACCAAGGTGGAACCTGAAGAAGGCTAACTGGGAAAAGTACACGATGGACCTTGAGAACACAATAGGACGTATTCCGGCAACTAGTAACAGCTACTATTTCTTTGTTGGAGCAATTATGTCATCAGCTAAAAAATCCATCCCACGTGGCTTCCGTAAGGAATATATCCCAGGATGGAATGAAACTTGCGAAAACCTGTACCAAAAACCTTTAGAGAATGATGATGCTAAGATAGCTGATGAAATTCTTCATAATCTTGACCTGGCGCGTAGGCAGAAATGGGAGCAAACTACGTCTGGATTATATTTTAAACACTCAAGCAGGAAGGCATGGAGCCTAATGAGAAAACTGGAAGGAGACCAACCAGCTCAACGTAAACAACAAGAGGTTACTCCAGATCAAGTAGCAACTCGAATTGTCAACTTAACTAGAGTACCCCATGATAAGAAACATACTAAACTAATGAAAAGAGAACTAAAGCATCTAAAAACTCTGGGATTGCCTAACCAGGAATACGCTCGACCCTTCCAAGCAGCTGAAATAGACACTGCCCTGAAGAATGTCAAAGCTGGAAAATCTCCTGGTTTTGATGGAGTAATGCCAGAATTTATCATCCAATCTGGACCTCGCACAAGAGAACAGCTGGAAAAATTTTATACAGATATCCTAACTTCCAGTAAGCTCCCTCCAGAATTTAAAAGAACCAAGGTAATCGGCATATTAAAACCCGGAAAAGAAAGCAATAAGCCAGAAAACTATCGCCCCATTGCTCTGTTAAGTGTCTATTATAAACTACTTGAAAGGTTGATACTTAACAGAATTGAACAGAAAATTAACGAACAAATACCGGTTGAACAGGCTGGGTTTAGATTTTATCGGAACTGTGTTGATCAGGTCCTTAGTCTTACAAGCCATATTGAAAGCAGCTATCAGAATAAATTGAAAACATCTTTTGTATTTGTGGATCTCACAGCAGCATATAGTACAGTATGGAGGGAGGGCCTATTAAGCAAATTCCTCCACGCTGTCCCCTGTAGGACTATGGGTCGCCTAATAAATAACATGCTTTCAGCAAGGACCTTTCAAGTCATCATGGGTGACAAAATCAGAAAGCAAAGACACCTGAATAACGGACACCCTCAGGGCTCCGTGCTGGCCCCATCTCTATTTAACTTATATATTTCTGATATACCACCCACGCTATCAACAAAGTTCTCTTATGCTGATGACCTGGCATTAGCATATAGCCACAAGGACATCGAAGCTACAGAAGGCATACTAACAGCCGACCTTACAACTTTGAGCACATACTTCCACCAATGGAGGTTAATTCCAAGCGTAGGTAAAACAGTTACATCATGTTTTCACCTTAACAACAAATTGGCAAAAAGAGAACTCAATGTATACCTAAACAACTGCTCCCATATGAGGCAACACCAAAATACCTGGGGGTCACCTTAGACAGGACTCTGTCTTTTAAAAAACATATTCAGAATATGGCTGCCAAGGTTAACAGCAGAAATAACATTCTACAAAAACTATGCGGAACAACTTGGGGAGCTTCAGCCCCAACTCTTCGATGTGCAGCCCTCGGGCTTTGCTACTCTGCAGCAGAATACTGCGCACCTGTATGGATAAACAGCTCACATACAGGACTTATTGATGTTCAACTTAACCATACGATGAGGCTAATTACTGGGTGCACAAAATCTACACCTAGTTACTGGCTACCAGTTCTTAGTCACATACTTCCCCCGCACTTACGACGACAAGAAGCTCTCATTCGGGAGTATAGTAAGATCCTGTTAAATTCCTCTCTACCCATTCATGGCTACATTCCTGATCTCTTAAGATGCTGATTAAAGTCAAAAAATCCACCACTCTTGACAGCGCTTAAGCTGCTGGCCGATCATCAGAACACCACACAAAAGTGGATGGAAGCGTGGAGTAGCTATTCCCCCCAAGATATTTTTGAGCATATTAATCCTAATAGTATACCTCCAGGATTTAATCTACCCCGACACACATGGGTGACATACAATAGAATTAGAACGACTCATGGGGTGTGTGCCAACTCCTTGTATAAATGGGGAAAGACACCTTCAGCGCAATGTAATTACGGGCCCCCCCCGACAGACTATCCAACATATAGTGAGGGAATGCTCTAACAGAAGGTATCCAGGAGATTTTAGGGACTTCCTCTGCATAACAACGACAGCTACTGACTGGATCTCCAAACTCGACATTAAACTCTGAAATGTTCTTTGTTTTCCTCTTAGGTTTTCTTACTGCTTTTTAAAAATTGTTTTAACCTATAAAAATGAAGTGTTTTAATATTGTGTGTGATCAGCCATACACTAAATAAATAATAAATTATTTCAGACGTTACCAATACTTACAACTGACAATCCATTTAAATAATGGCAGAAGGACATTTCTAAATTCATATGGCAAGGGAAAAAACCAAGAATTAGATATAAGCTACTGCAGGATGCTAAGGAAAGAGGGGGTTTGCATCTACCAGATATTAAATTGTATTTTGATGCATGCTGTTTGATCTGAGCAAACGAATTGCTGAGTCTCCCAGAATAAGAGGTTACTTGAATTACAGGACCATGAATTAAGGTTTGGATGGCATTATCATACTTATGGTATGATAAAGTAAAGTTAATGTTGATTTTAATAATCATTTTGTTACACATGCCATACTAAGAGTTTGGAATAAATATAATACAAGGTTCTCTATGAAGCTGCCTGTCATCCCTGGAAGCTTTTTTTTAGAAAAGAAATGGTGGCGAAGCCAGACTGGTTGATGTATGGTAAAATTTTATCTTTCAACTCTGGTGACCCAATACTAAAGCCAAGAGAGGAACTTGAATCAGAAGGTTATGTTTGCCATTGGTTTACTTATCAACAACTGAAAGAAAGATTTAAACTGGACAAAAAGTGCTATGGATTTGACTTTGTTAAAAATTAATTGGAAATTTTATTATGTGGCAACAATGAACATATTATTGCTAAGAACTATAAAATGTTATTGAAATTGAATTTGGAAAAAAACATGTAAAACATTGTATGATTCAGTGGGCAAGGAATTTTGGATATAATGTGATGCTTGAAGAATGGGAAAATATGTGGACGAAGGGTTTAAAATTTACATTAAATTATAATCTAAAAGAAAATTTCTGTAAAATGATGTACCGTTGGTATTTAACACCAGATAAGTTATCTAAGATGTATAAAGGTATGTTAAATGAACGTTGGAAGTGTAAAAGTAAAGAAAGGACTTTTTATCATCTATGGTGGACGTGCAATAAAGGAAAAAAAAATTGGAGTATGATTCATATTTTAATACAGAAAATTTTGAAAATGGAGATAAAAATGAAACTAGAACTTTTCCTTTTGGGCCTAATGGAAAAAGAACTAGAGAAAAAATTTGGAACTTTGTTATTATATATGTGGACAGCAGCACAGAAATGGAAGGACACTTCGATTCCTACTATGGATGAATGGGAATGGGAAACAGAATAGAACAGAACAGAACAGAATAAAATTCTTTATTGGCCAAGTGTGACTGGACACACAAGGAATTTGTCTTTGGTGCATATGCTCTCAGTGTACATAAAAGACAAGATACATTCGTCAAGAATCACAAGGCACAACACCCAGTGGCAGTCATACGGTACAATAAGTAATCAAATCATACTAGGAAACAATCAATATCAATATCAATATAAATCACAAGGATACAAGCAACAAAGTTACAGTCATGCAGTCACAAGTGGGAGGAGATGGGTGATAGGAACGATGAGAAGATTAATAGCAATAGTAATGCAGCCTAATGTGAATAGTTTGACAGTGTTGAGGGAATTATTTGTTTAGCAAAGTGATGGCATTCGGGAAATTAATGTTCTTGTATCTAGTTGTCTTGGTGTGCACTGCTCTATAGCGTTGTTTTGAGGGTAAGAGTTGAAACAATTTATGTCCAGGATGTGAGGGGTCTGTAAATATTTTCACAGCCCTCTTTTTGACTCTTACAGTATACAGGTCCTCAATGGAAGAAAGGTTGGTAGTAATTGTTTTTTCTGCGGTTCTAATTATCCTCTGAAGTCTGTGTCTGTCTTGTTGGGTTGCAGAACCAAACCAGACAGTTATAGAGGTGCAGATGACAGACTCAATAGTTCCTCTGTAGAACTGTATCAGCAGCTCCTTGGACAATTTGAGCTGCCTGAGTTGGCGCAGAAAGAACATTCTTTGTTGTGCTTTTCTGATGACGTTTTTGATGTTAGGTGTCCATTTTAGGTCTTGCGATATGATAGAACCTAGAAATTTGAAGGTCTCTACTGTTGATACTGTGTTGTCTAGTATTGTAAGAGGTGGTAGTAGGGGAGGGTTTCTCCTAAAGTCTACCACCATTTCTACGGTTTTGAGTGTGTTCAGTTCCAGATTGTTCCGGTCGGACCACAAGGCTAGTTGTTCAACCTCCCATCTATATGCGGATTCATCATTGACTCGAATGAGACCAATAAATGTTGTATCACCTGCAACTTCAGTAATTTAACAGATGGATCGGCATTGGTATATAGAGATAAGAGGAGAAAGCACACATCCTTGGGCGGGCCCTGTGCTAATTGTATAGGTATCTGATGTGATTTTGCTTAGCTTCACCTGCTGCTTCCTGTCTGTTAGGAAACTTGTGATCCACTTACAAGTGTATTCAGGTACCGCTAGCTGATTTAGTTTAGTTAGAAGAATGTCAGGTATGATGGTATTGAATGCTGAACTAAAGTCTACAAAGAGGACCCTTGCATAGATCTTTGGAGATTCAAGATGTTGTAGGACTTTTCCTGGCTTTTGTCTGCGAAATAGATCTTGCACTTCCTTTTCTGTGATCACCAGGGGTTGTGAACCCAATGGGATGGGGTCAGTTGAAGAAGGTTTGGCTGTTGTTGGTGTGTCTAGGATGGGGGTTGTGGAGATAGGTGGCTGTAGTTTCCTTTCAAACCTGCAGTAAAACACATTAAGGTCATCTGCCAGTTGTTGATTTCCTTCAGCCTGGGAAGGAGGTTTGCCATAATGGGTGATATTTTTAAGAGTTTTCCATGTTTGCTGGCTTGTTTGTTGAGAACTGATTTCTTAGCTTTTCAGAGTAGCTTCTTTTTGCTGTTCTGATCTCCCTTGTTAATACGTTTCTGGCCTGATTGTACAGCATTCTATCACCTTTTCTGTAGGCTTCCTCTTTGGTATGACATAGCTGCTTAAGGGTAGCTATGAACCAAGGTTTATTGTTACTGTGTATTCACAAGTTCCTGGTGGGTACACATAGGTCTTCACAGAAGCTGACATATGATGTTACAGTATCTGTAAGTTCATCTAAGTCTGCAGAGGTATTTTCGAAAACATTCCAATCAGTGCAGTCAAGGCAGGCCTGTTGCTTTAGCTATGCCTCCTTAGTCCAGGTCCTCACTGATTTAATTGTTGGTTTCATGGTTTTAAGTCTTTGTCTGTAGGCAGGTACAAGGTGAATCATGCAATTATCAGAGTGTCCCACAGCTGCTCGTGGTAAGGACTGATAAGCATATTTTAGTGCTGTGTAGCAATGGTCTAAAGCAGTGGTTCTCAACCTGTGGGTCGGGACACCTTTGGGGATCGAATGACCCTTTCACAGGGGTCGCCTAAGACCATCGGAAAACAAATATTTTCAATGGTTTTAGGAATAATTTTATTGTTGGGGGTCACCACAACATGTGAAACTGTATTAAAGGGTCACAGCATTAGGAAGGTTGAGAACCACTGGTCTAAAGTATTCTTGACTGTAGTGGGACAACTGACACGCTGAAAATATTTTGGAAGCTCTTTCCTTAAGTTACCTTTGTTGAAATCACCTAAAATAATGGCCAGTGAATCTGGGTATTTGGCTTCAGCCTCCAAAATCTGGTCAGCTAGAGTTCGTAATGCCTTGTTTACACAGGCTTGTGGAGGAACATACACAGCAATTAGGAGAAATGAGGAAAACTCACATGGAGAGTAAAATGGTTTACAGTTGATAAATAAAGACTCTAAGTTTTCATCACAGAATTTATGTATTGTAATTATATCCTGAGACCAGCTGTTGTGTTTTTTTTAGTAAAGTTTTTTTTATTTTTTAAACACACAAACAAACATACAATGCATCTTTTCTGAACAGAATATTGGCCCGGTTTTAAATTTATACAGATTTTTGTTCATCTTTAACACAATTTTATATATAATTTTTCTCAAATCATTTATTCTCTCTAATTCTAAGAAACCAATATTACCCTTCATCTTAACTTCTCATCCTAATATAGTTCATTTTTTCTTTTCCCTCCTTAAAATTTGAACCCCTAAATTTAACTTCACATAACATAATACAATCCCCAATTATTACCTTAAATTCTCTTATTCCAATCACCAATGTTTCTTTTATTAACTATTCCAAATAATACATTTCAACAATTAAGCATATTCAATAAAAAATCAATTAAGTATCAATCTTACTCCAATACCTCTACATTTAAATTCATATAATATAATACAATTCCCAATTATTTTCTTTCTCTTATTCCAATCTCAAATAGTTTTTTCTTTATCAATTGTTCCAGATAGTACACTTCGACATTTTTATCAAAAACCAGTTAAATATATCTGGGTAGTTCATAATCCAATATTTCAACTTTCTTTTCTTATTTAGTTAAATTCCAACTATATAATTAAGAATATTCCATTTGTTACAATACCCTTCATTAATTAAAAATATTCCAATTATTACATTCATCATATATTTATTTATTTATTTTATTTATTTATTTCATGTATTTATATGCCGCCCTTCTCCAGAGGGACTCAGGGCGGCGAACACAAGTTAAAAACATGTACAACAAAATCCCATTTTAATCCAAATTAACTAATAAATAATAATTAATAAAAGTCAGAATATTTGCTTGAACAGCCAAGTCTTCAGGTCCTGATGGAAGGAGCTCGGTAGGCAACTCATTCCAGAGGGTAGGAGCACCCACAGAGAACGCCCTACCCCTGGGCGCCGCGAGACAACATTGGCTCGCTGTCGGAACCCTGAGGAGAGCAGCCCTATGTGAGCGAACAGGATGGTGGGAGGCAGGCAGGAGAAGGTCATGGAAATATCCCGGACCTAAGTCACGTAGGGCCTTATAGGTGAGAACCAGCACCTTGAAGCGGACCCGGAGAACCACTGGTAACCAGTGCAGCTCACGCAGGAGGGGTGTTATATGGGAGTAACGAGGGGCTCCCGTAACAACCCGTGCGGCTGCATTCTGGATCAGCTGGAGTCTCCGGGTGCATCTCAGGGGCAGGCCTATGTAGAGGGAATTGCAGTAATCCAAGCGAGAAGTAACCAGGGCATGAGTGACAGTGCGAAGGTCATCTCGGTCCAGGAAAGGGCGCAACTGGCGCACCAGGCGAACCTGTGCGAAGGCCCCCCTGGTCATGGCCGTCAGGTGGTCTTCTAGGGACAGCCGAGCATCCAGGAGGACACCCAAGTTGCGAGCCCTATCAATGGGTGCAAGTTTTTCCCCACCCATCAAAAGAGATGGGATGCCTGAAACCCAAGATGCCGGCATCCACAGCCACTCAGTCTTGGAGGGGTTGAGTCTGAATATCCCTAAATTATAAATTTATAAATTATAAATAAATATAAAAATATCCATATATTTTAAACTCACTTCATTAAAAATACAGTTCATTTCTGCGTATTGACTTCCATATGGTTTTAAAATCACTTCATTAAAAATACAATTTCATCTTTTCCCTAGTATTTATTTCCTTTACCCCATATTCCTCTTCCATTTCTTTCTCCCTTTCTATCTTTATTTTATTTTATTTTAATTTTTCTTTCCCCTTTTCTTTTGTATTTTAAAATCCTGAACTCTCTTTTCCCTTTTTACCTTTCCACTGTTAATCCCAGTATAATCATTTTGCTTTTTAAAATCATACTCTTCTATTTTGCTGTATCTTTCCTATTATTTTCCATCCCTTTCCCCTTTTTTTCTTTTCTCTGTAATCATTTCAGTTTTTTATATTCTTTCTATTCCATCCTCTTTTCTTTTTTTGTTTCTTTCCCCTTTTTCTATTTTTTTCCATTGTTAAACCCAATGTAATTTTTTAAGTTCTCTTTTTTATTATTACTACCCACATAATCATTTAATTTTCCATAATCAATCTCCTTGTCTTTGTCCTCTTCTTTATTTTCAGTCTCTTTTCCTTGCTTCTCATTAGTTGTTTCTTTGTCAGCTTGAATGTATCCTAAGTCAATTTTTTGGTCATCAAGTTTCCATTTTCCATGCAACATTGTGGTCATTTCCCTTATTTCCATTTTCAATGATAGGTATATCGTTATCATTATTTCCTTCAATTCCTGTGCCATTTTGTTCTTTCTAAATTGATATTGTTCCAATTGAAGTTACGTTATAATCCTTTTTTTCTCTCCAAGCCAAAATGCTTGTAAACAAACACTCCTTAAAATTTTTCACATGCTGTTATCTCTTTCAAAGTCCAATTTTTTTTCTTTTTCCAAAACAAAAGTTCAGTGTTATAACGATTTTTTTTCCTCCTGAAGATGGCTCTCTACAATCCACAATTACAATTGACGAGTTTAAAAGGCACCCATTTTGGTTGCAGTCTGTTTTAATAGTTTTTACTTATTTGACTTTTTTTCCCTTTCTTTTCACCTTTATATACACCAAATCAATTTCAAATTCAGTCCAGATTTATATAGTCCAATTTCCACGTTATGTTCCAATTAAGTTTCAATTTAAAGTCTTTAACCAGTCCTTTCTATTACAGTTTTTTCTTCATTTTTTTAAAAAAAATTTCCTCCCTTTAAAGTTTCCAAATTGAGAAAGAATCTTTTCGGGTTCTTAGTTCTTCTAATTTTTTTAAAGTTCTCCAAGTATTTTCAATCCAAAACAGACAAATTTCTAATCGGGTTCTGTTGCTTTATAACTTCCGCCTTAATCTTCTTCTTCCGTCCTTTCCTACACCTATTAGCCGCTATTATAACGCCAGGACATTTACAATTGTTTTAAAAATCCTTTTTTCCCCCTTTCTGCCTATGAGTTAAGATATCACTCACCCGGCATCAATATTCCGCTCAATTCTCCACTCCTGCACATTGCTTGGTCTGGTTGCCCCAGCTTACTGGCGATCGTAATGACCTCCGCCCCCCACTGCAGAGTCAGAGAGAATTTCCTCTGATCTCCGAGGAACTTGCCTGTTCCTCTTGGTCTTCCGAGGTACCTCTCTTTCTTCCCTGTCCTTACAGGACAGATCCAGTCTGAAGACCCCTCTGCAGCAATTCGTCAGCCCAGGATTTCGCGAGGCTCATCAGAGCCCGCTAATCCCCGACAGTCTCGCCAGGATGCTTCCGGTCGAATCGAGACCAGCTGTTGTTGATATATATACATAAGCCTCCTCCCTTTTTACCTGATGATTCTGCAATTTTGTCTGCTCTTATTATCTGAAACCCTGGTATATGCATGCTGTTGTTATCAACTTCCTCATTTAGCCAGGATTCAATGAAGCATAGGGCTGCTGCATTGTAAAAATCCGAATTGCATCTATTTAAAAGGAATATTTCATCCATTTTATTAGCAAGTGAACGTAAATTAGGAAGATTGAAGGGAGCGGGGTTGTTTTGTTCTTCCTCTTCCTTAGTCTATTCAAAATTCCTGCTCTTTTATTTATTTATTGTTTATTTATTGGTTCGATTTATATGCCACCCTTTTCCGGAGACCCAGGGCGGCTTACAATGCGTTAAGCAATAGCCTTCATACTTTTGTATATACCTGCTTAGTAGGGCTTTTGGCCCCCCACAAGCGGTGTTCTTTTTATTATACAAAGTCAGCTTATTGGCCCCGCAAACCGGGTCCTTATTTTACCTACCTCGAAAGGATGGAAGGCTGAGTCAATCTTGAGCCTGGTGAGATTTGAACTTTCAGTAATTGCAGGCAGCTGGTGTTACTTAACGGTGCTTTAGTCTGCTGCGCCACCAAGGCTCCTTTTTTTACCTCTTTTACAGTGTCTCCTGCATTTGCTTTTGGTGATCCATAGCTCCGGGGAATTTGCTTCTTCCTATGTTAGAATCTCCTCCGCGTTTGTAAAGACGGGTGGGGGATGGGGGGTGTTTGAGGTTACAGAAAGCTGCTTCTTAAAGAAACATTGCTTATTTCTTAGCAAATGGTCTCATGAAATCCGTAGAGAATAGCAAAGAGTAATAAAAAATTTTAAAAAACCATTAGAGAGTATTTCACCGAGGCAGCCGTCGGCAGCGCCATCTTGGAAAGGAAGTGTGGAGTTGATGGAGTTGGCTGAAATGGCAAAATTGACTACTTTGATTAAAGAAAAGAACGTAAGTACTTTTTTTTTAAAAAAAACAGTCTTTATTTACATTTTCCATTAAAAAAACAAAAAAAAAACAAAACAGTACACCATATAAATAACGTACAACACAAAGAACATTACAAATGACACACAAATGGTAGGTACAGATGGTACCTTCATATCTGAGTATTCAATATAATATTACATTCCAGGGGACATAGGGCAACTCATCTCTCTTAATATCTCAATTAGGTCTAACCAACCTCACTTAGTATAGTTTCCTCCTTAACAATCCTTCCACATTTACTTTGGGTTATGACATTCTCTTCTCTAGCCAAATATATAGTTTCTCCCAGGATAAACATGTTTGTGTTTGGTCCTTATCTTTTAATTTTTTGGTTAATTTATCAGCTTCTGCACAATCCAGAATCTTTTTTATGATTGCTTCCTCTGATGGGATATTCTGGTTTTTCCAAAATTGAGCGTATATCAATCTCGCCACTGTAATAATGTGAAGAGCTAAATACCATGAATCCTTCTTGATCTTATCTGGTTTGGAGCTGAGCAAGCATGTCTCTGGTGACCATTCAATTTTTTGTTCTAAAATCTTATTCAACCATTTTTTAATTTTCCCCCAAAATTTTTTTGCTTCCTGGCATGTCCACCATTGATGATAGTAAGTGCCTTTTTCTTGCCCGCATTTCCAACAACCGCCGATTGTCCAGCAAACATTTTAGCCAGTCTATCAGGGGAGAGATGCCACCTATATATCATCTTATAAATGTTTTCCTTATAGGTCGTGGAGACTACTAATTTCATATTTTCCCACCATATCCCTTGCCATTTGTCTAAGTGGATTGGGTACCACTTGGAGACCGCTTCTGAACTTCGTGCTTGAAGTGGAAAAGAATGAAACTTTAATTTTGGGTTTTACCAAGTAGATTGATAGATCTTTACAGAAATGGGTGGTTCATATTATTATGAAAAAGTAAAAAGTTGTGATTTGATGTTTTGTCTTATTTTGATGTTAATGTCTTATTTTACTAAAACAGAGAGAGTCAGAAGTTTTATTTTGCATGTCCCAGACTGTTCAAACAGTTTTTAAAATATCAGGATAGTCAGATAGAAGCCAAGAGCAATCAGTTTTCTCAGTTCTCTAATTTTCTTAGGGACTTGTTTTAACGTAATTATTTCTTTGCCTTTATAGAACATAGGTTCATTTTTTGTTATTTTATAAACAATGTCTCTTACTTTTCTTCGCACAAATCTTACATGGACCTCTTTTGGTAATTTATATTGTCTGGCATAGTTCGTGTGGACCCTGTAGACCTCGTCCAGCTCGTTTATTATTTCATCTTTATCCCGTTGGAGGGCCTCCACAATCACTTCTGCCATCACAAATGTTAAATCCTCCTCTCTTATCTTCGACCACATTCTGAAATCGCAAGTAGAATGCAGCCCTCTTCATCTCCAGATGTGCCACTGTGTTTTCCAGTTCTTTATTTAGGCCCATCATTTTCTGGTCCAATGAGTCCAATTTTTCTTCTGTCTGTTCTCTTCTCTTCTCTATAGCTATTATTCTTTGATCATTTTTTTGTATAATTTTTTTATTGCATCCATCTTTTCATCTATTTTTTTAATCAAGTCAATTGGCAATTTATGTTACAACAATTAAAAAATATAAAATTTGGGGAAAGATTTGAAAACATAATTGCCTCTATATACACACAAAAAAAGCAAGTATAATGATAAATGGAGACTTTACTAAATTTTTTGAAATAAAGAAAGAAGTATGGCAGGGATGCCCATTTTCACCATTACTTTTTATTTTGACATTGGAAAATCTATTGATAAAAATCAGAGCAAACAAAAAGATAAAAGGATTAAAAGTAAAACGAGAGGAATACAAGGCCCAAGCATTTGCGGATGACCTTGTATTCTTCATAGAAGAATCATTAAAAACAGGTCCAATATTGATAAAAGAGATAGAGGAATTTGGGAAGGTAGCTGGTTTAAAATTTAATAAAGATAAGATCAAAATGTTAACGAAAAATATAACAGGAAAACAAAATGAGGAATTAATTAAAGAATTAGGATTACAGGTAGTAAAAAAAGTGAAATATTTAGGTATATATTTAACAGCCAGATGCGCAACCATAAAGGAGAATAATTATGTAACTTTAGTTCAAAAAATAAAAGAGGAGTTAGAAAAATGGGGAAAACTGAAATTATCATTAGGGAGAACAGCAGCGATAAAAATGAACATGCTGCCGAGGCTCCTTTATTTATTTCAGACAATTCCAGTAAAATTGGACAAAATATTTTTTGGAAATCTGAATAAAATAACCACAAAATTTGTATGGGAAGGAACAAAAGCAAGAATCAAATTAAGTATACTGCCGGATGATAGGACCAGAGGTGGATTTGGATTACCAGCATGGGAAACATACTATAAAGCAATGAGCTTGACATGGATTAGGGAATGGGTGAATTTAAAATATCAAAGATTGTTAACCTTGGAGGGACACGATTTGATGATGGGGTGGCATGCCTTCTTATGGAACACCAGGAACAAAACACATAGGTATTTTTGTAACCATATTTTAAGAGATTCTTTAATTCATATATGGCAAGAAATTAAAAACAAACACTATATGAAAGTTCCTGGATGGTTATCCACAATGGAGGCGATGACACACCCCAATACCATGGCAACTCAAAAAATGGTAAGATATAATGAAATACTAGATCCCCAGGGAATATTAAAAACACAAGAAGAACTCGGAGAGCAAGGAATTTGGATAGACTGGTGGCCCTATTTACAAATAAAAACAAGATACAAAAAAGATCAAGAGGAAGGAGGAATTGAATTAAAACCAAATCGGTTAGATAAACTTTTAGAAGCCCCGGAGGAAAAATTAATCTCAAAAATTTATAAATATCTATTGGAATTCGATTTGGCAGAAGAATTAGTAAAGGGACAAATGATAGCATGGGCAAGAAACATCGGACATAACATAGAACTGGAGGACTGGGAAAGAGCGTGGGAAAATAATTATGACAAAATCAGTGGTTTATAAAGAGAATCAGTATAAAATGTGGTATAGATGGCATCTGGCCCCTTCGAGGGTAGCGAAAATGTATCCAAACTTAAGTCCAACTTGTTGGAAATGCAAGCAGGCGCAGGGCACTTTTTTCCATGTCTGGTGGCTTTGCCCCCAAATTAGGAAGTATTGGGAAAAAATAAGGATTTGGCTGATAGAAATAACATCGGAAAAAATAGAACTTAAATCAGAATTTTTTTTATTAGGGATGATTAAAGAAAATTACAAGAAAGAAATAAAGTATTTAATAGTACATATAATCACTGCAGCCAGATTGGCGTTAGCTCAATTTTGGAAAACTGATCAACTGCCAACAGACCAACTAATAATTCAAAAAATCTATAATTGTGTGGGAATGGATAAATTAACATTCAAATTGAAAGATAAGGCAGACTCAAAATATTGTATAGTATGGGATAAATGGTATGACTGGATAATTAGAAGAAATGAGAGCAAATGCAAAATTCTGAACAACAACAAAAAAAAGCACAGTCAACAAGATAACAGATATGTGACTAAAGTCACTGTTTCTTTTTAGGTAGAGTTGTTTATATTGATATAGATGTGTTTTGTATATATATATGGTGTATTATTTTATTTTTATATGTTTAATAAAGTTTATTTTTTAAAATTAAAAAGAAAAAAAGAAAAAAAAAGAAATAAAGAGACGAAGAGTAGCTGATGCAATAATAATACCAAAAGTAACCACTCCACAAAACCGGGACAACAGACTTTACCTATTAACAGTAAAAATATAAATCAGATATAATCCTATACCTTTTCTGTATCTATGCTATTTACTCCCATATTTATATATGTATAAATGTCTGTATAGAAGCTAGGTTTAGATCTCTCTCTCTCTCTCTCTCTCTCTCTCTCTCTCTCTCTCTTTCTCTCTCTCTCTCTCTCTCTCTCTATCTATCTATCTATCTATCTATCTATCTATCTATCTATATATATTACAAATAATTAATTTAAAAGAGAATAATACATAGTACCTTATAAACACTTACAAGTAGGCTGTGCAGTAGTGTATGAATCAGGGTAGATTTGATTTAAACCAAACTGATTTAAATCACTTTATTACCTGCAGCTTTGATCTTCAAATCCTGCCAGCTGGCAATTCAGCCTTCAAACAAATGAATTGCATTTTGTTTAAACACAGCTTTTGGTTATCTTTTTCAGAATGCAAATGGTTCAGTGTTGCTCAACAAGAAATGGTGAAGAACAGAATGAGGAATGACAATGAAGTTTGAAAATGAAGGAGACATGACCAGATAATCTTTATATACTTCTAATTAAATCTTCCCTTCTACAGTATTGAAGAAATTTGATGATGGTCTTGCTGATCCTTTATTTATTCTATCTGAAGTGAATACCTGCAGAGAGCAGGTATTGCCCCAAACTTCAAAATGGGGAGAGTGATTAAATCCAGACCATTCACTCTGACATCAAGAGTAGAAAGAACCTAAAACAAAATATGAGGGATTTCAGCCAAGAGATTATAAAAACAATGCAACAATGAAAAGAAATCAGCATGAGTTAGCATATTAACAAAATAGCCATCTCTCATTTATTCTCATCAGGTAATTCTTCCACAGATTACTATGCAAATGGAGCTTCTGAATTTTGAAATCACCAAGCATTTGATGAAATACTTGAGGACATTCTGATAAGCAAAGAAATACTGTCTGGACAATGTAACAGTGAGAGAGAAAGTAATTTTCAAGTACTCAATATTAAATGAAATGGTAGGAATGACAATTAGATCTGCAGATGATATAAAACTGAATAGGTATGGAAAAGATGAATAGAAGATAGAAAAAGGTCCTCCTCTATCTTTTGTATCCTGAAGCAGTTTAAATTTTATTCGTGGCCTTTTCCCTTGCCAAATAAATTTAGATGTTATTTTATTCAGCTTTTCAAAAAACGGTTTATCTATTTTAATTGGGGTGACCTGAAACAAATATAAAAATTTAGGTAATATAATCATTTTGATGGCCGAAATTCTTCCTAGGAATGAAACGTGTAAATTTTCCCATTTTTCTAAGTCTGACTGGGAGATATACTACCAAGCAGCAGTACTATCGTGGGTCAAAGATTGGATAGAATTAAAGGACTCTAGAACTTTAACAATTGAGGGACACGAACTTCAAACTGGCTGGCACTCCTTTATGTGGGATGAGAAATACAAAACACATTCATATTTTAAAACTCATACAATAAGGAACTCACTATTACAAATTTGGCTTAAAATTAAAAAACAACATTATATGAAGATACCAAATTGGCTAGCACCGGCTGAATCAATTAGACACCCAAATTTAACAGATAAGACAAAAATAATTAGATATAAAGATACAATTGACTATCAAGGCAAACTAAAGACAAAACAACAATTGGAGACAGATTTACACAGAGGAATAGACTGGTGGACTTACACTCAAATACAATCCAAATATAGAGAGCATATAAAAACATATGAAATTTACAATCAAAAACAAGAAATAGATAAAATTATATTAGATTCAGAAAATAAATTAATTAGTAGAATTTATAAATTTCTCCTACGCTATAAATTGGAAGAAGAGACAGTCAAAGAAACGATGATTAAGTGGGCTCAAAATATCAAACACACAATACCTTTGGAAAAATGGGAAAAGTTCTGGCAGGAAAACCTAAAGTTAACGAAAGCAACGGCGTACAAGGAAAACCAACTGAAAATGTTTTATCGGTGGCATATGTCTCCAACCAGATTGGCAAAAATACAACCTAAAAATAGCCCAATTTGTTGGAAGTGCAAAAAGGCACAAGGGACTTTCTATCATTTATGGTGGACATGCCCGGCAGCAAAGAAATTTTGGTCTAACATCAAAAAATGGTTGGAACAAATAACAAAAACACAGATTGAAAAAGAACCAGAAACATTTTTATTAGGAATATTTAACAAATCATACCCTAAGGATATCAAATATCTTACAATTCACATATTAACTGCTGCAAGAATAACCTACGCAAGAAATTGGAAACAAGAAAAAAATACCAAGTGAAACAGAAGTAATAGGGAAAATTTTAGAATGCGCTGAAATGGATAGGTTAACCAAAGAATTACAAGAAAAAGAAGAATCAGACTATTATAAAATATGGAATAATTGGTATAATTGGTTAAAAATTAGAAATATATAAAAAATATAGGGGATATATTACTGATTGATACATATATATGTAATAAAAATATTATTAGATTACAGAAAGGTGAAGGAATATATTATAAGTAGAATTGTAGAACGTCACTCTGAAAAAATGCTTAAGAAGAAATTATATTCTTTTTGTGTATATGTTGTATAAATGTTCGCTGTGTATATGTTACGTATGTCTTTTTTAATATTTATATTCAATAAAAACTATTTATATTAGAAGATAGAAAAAGGAAGTCCATTGCTCAGAAAACAGAAAATAGGTAGATGGGATATCTCTTTTTTTAAATATTTGAGTCAACTCAATATGCCTGGATTTCCTGATAGTGTCTTATTCAGGTAGCAGTAAGGCTAAATTCTGCTTAAGTTTTTCAAGTTCAGCTAAGATCAATCATCTATCAGGAGCTTTGGTGCTGATAGTACTTCAGACTGAGTGATGCAACTGCCAAAAAGCATAACACAGTTCCACAAAAAACACCTTCCAAACCACAGAAAGTAACAGTTCCATTTCATTTTGCTTTGGTCAGCCTTAGAAGTTCCAAGTCTATAATTGTATGAAAATGAAGAGATTTGGTTATCCAGAGAAACAGAGTTAAGCACCCAGTCTTACCTGCAAGGTCTAGCCCAAAAGGGACACAAGCATGACTATACCCATAAACTGGATGAAGAGCACCGGAGGTGTCAGAAATGACCACACAGGCCATAAGGAAATGTTAAAACTGGGAATGAGAAAAAAAAAAAGAATCAATTTTAGTTTAATATTAGCAATTTTACGTGTAGTTTATCATATTTATGTTTAATCTATTACTTTAAAAGTTTCTTTCATTCATCTTGAAACGTCTTCTAGTAATCTATTCATAAATAAATATATGTTCACACATGGAAACACAAGTATCTTTGTTTTTACTCTCGCTAAGTCTCTTACCTTTTTCTCTAGATAATATTCTAAATTTAAATAATTCATAATTATAAAAAGAACCATGATAAATACAGGTTGTCCTCACTGACTGTAATAGGGACTGGCAACTCTATCACTAAAGGTCACAGTCATCAAGTACATCACATGACTGTGATGACTTACAACATCAGTTGTCAGGATAATTAAATGAATTGCCATGGTTTGGTAAACACATCACATGACTACAATTTATACTGCTGGCTTCCCCATTGATTTTCCTTGTGGAAGCATCTCTGAAACTCGCAAATTGTGATCACATGATCACAGGATACTGCAACTATCATAGTGCAATATGGTTGCCAAGTGGCCAAATTGAGATTACATGACTGACCAAAGGGATGCTACAATGGCTACAGCTATGAAGACCCATTGAAGCTACGACTGGTCACTAAATGAACAGTTGGTAAGCAAGAACTATCTGTAAATGATATATATGTGTGTGCACTCTGGAAATAGCTAGCAATTCATAAACTTTGTTTTTATGATAATATAAATCTGTAGATTAAAATGTTACTTCTTAAGATACATCAAGGAATTAAGGTTAGATTAGAATTCTCTGTCACTGCATGTCAGGAATGTACGCATTTGTCATTTGGGGATGATTGAACAGGTGTTGCATTTATATTTCTCCATATAATAACATTCTGGCTAGGAGATGATCAAACAATAAGGCACAGAACAGGAAGTAGGATCAACCAATCAGCATGCAAGGACATGCACCTCCATAGAATGCGCAACAGGGACTTTGGAAGTGTGTGCATGGGCCCTTCTGCAGCCATCTGCAACCTATGCTTACCCATCAACCCCTTTCCAGTGTAGGTATGTGATGATGCCTACACACAGTTGCAGGCAACTTAAATCAAGTGTTAGGCCAAGGGTGTCAAACTCACGGCCCGTGGGCTGGATGCATCATGTGCTGCCCATGCCCACCCCTGGTTTAGCAAAGGGGGGGAAAAGTCATGATATGTCACATGACAACAATGTGACAATGCGAGTTTGATACCCCTGCTGGTATTTAAGAAATATATGTAAGATAAATTAGCATCTAATTTAAATCAATGATTTAAAACTAGCCCTTTTTCCTAGGTTATTTATAATCAATCTAGTTGAAAGCCAGTTTGGTCTAGGAATTAAGGCACCAGGCTAGAAACCAGAAGACCGTGAATTCTGTTTGCAAGACTGAGGCATGAAAGCAAAGCTGGGTGACTTTGGGCCAGTCCTTCCCTCTTAGCCCATGACCTCAGGCTTGGGCAATTCCTATCACAACTAATGGAGCAACAATCAGTTGATCTGAAAAAAGTGGACCTTGCATTTGCCAGAAAATGCTAGGAAGAAAAATATATATAACCAGTCTAGTCTATTTCACAGCAATACTATTATGAAACAAGGGAAAATGCAATTTAATTACACCTATCTTTTACCTAGGGTGAATCCTGTTACAGTATAAAATGGCCCACTTTCAAAACAATCGACAAATCTGTATTCTTCCCTCACCTGTCTATTTCATGTACAATGAACCAATGCAATGTAATTGCAATTGGACAATACAAAGTCACTTTTTATTTTTAATAAAAAGAGTGAATCAAGTACCCCTTTAATTAAACACTTTGGAAGCAATGCCAATCTGGCAATATGTCATACATTAAAATATTTTATTACAGAAAAAAGCTATATGGAATATGGATGAATTGCCATGAATATCCATGGATGCCTCATGGACTTGTATGGCTTCCAAAGGGCTCCTGGGAAATGCCCCAGGTGAGTCAGGTGAGGAACAAGACTGCTTCTGAACAGCCTCATTCTGCTGACTGAACCTGGCAGCTTGTGCGGAGCCATGAGAAGTGAAGCAACAGAAACACCTAGAATAGTAGTGGACAAAGAAAAATTATTCTATGTTCAATCCACTGGAATTAGCTTAAAGGTGCAATTTAAAATGCTGACTTTAACCCAAAGACCATTATGGCTTGCTACCCATAAGAGCTAGCCAACCTATTGAGCCATCTAGAGAGAAACTGCTCCTAGTGCCATACTGTAGGGAGGTTTGGTTAGGAGGGGTAGCTTCGTGGTGGCAACTGTGGCTCTGTGGAATAGCTTCCATGTGGAAATCGGTATAATCCCTTCCCAACTGCATTTTAAAAGTTGCTGAAAACAGTAAATTCTGGAGGGTGATGATATTAGATCCATCTCTGGTTCTTTGAGTTATTTTATTCTTAAATTACATTATATTATTATATTGTTTTGATTTTATGCTGATTTTATTCCTATTAGGGATTTTTAACTGTTTTTTTCTATGTTGTGTTAACCATTGAGAGTAGGTTGATTTCAGTGAGATATAAATGTAATAATAAATTATATTACTTTGCTGGAAATGTGTTTTTCTCTATACCAATTTTAATCCTTTTATCTAAATTACTCACTTAGAAGGCCCCAAATCATTCTTTAACAAATCTGGAGCTTCATCAAGACCAAAAGCCTCAACAAAACATGGTGAAGCTAAATAAATGGTTCTGAAATACCCTGAACTAAATTAAACATGTTAAATGTTAGACAAGCATTAAAAATTGCTTCAAGAGAGCTAAAGCTAACATGATAGAACAATATTACAAAAAATGATCTTATTGTCTCCTCTCACAAATGTTTTAACAGTTACTTTTAAGTCAAGTGTCAACATTAATATCAGTTTATTCTATGAATGGTCAACTTACCAAACTGCTGCAGCAATAAAGCTAGCAGTTGTGATGGGAACAAGAGTGGGATAGCTAGTTTCATAGTCTGCAATTCCATGATACCATTCGAGGTATAAGATGCAGTAAAATGCCACTGACAGACTGACAGCTAATAAACAGCTGCCAAGGACAAACCACCCACTGCAAGACAGAGAAAAGGAGAGCTGAGTAAGTGCCATAATAAGGTAGCTGATCTTGTATTAAGTATACATCAATGTTATGAACATTGGCTCAATTACGAGGCTAATCCAGATCAGGACTGTTTTTTCATTGGCTGAGAATAATAATAATAATAATAATTTTATTTCTATACCGCCCTTCTCCCGAAGGACTCAGGGCGGTGTACAGCCTATTTAAAAACACAGAAACAAAACAACAGTTAAAATTTAAAATCATTAAATAATTAGGCTCCAATTAAAATCCCAGAAATTTAAAATACCCCAATTTAAAACGTTATATTAATAGTCCGGCCTGGCGGAACAACAGGGTCTTCAGAGCGCAGCGAAACACCCGGAGGTCGGAGATCTTACGTATTTCCGGGGGCAGTTCATTCGGACTGGTCGGTGGGAGGCTATTGGTGGCAGAAGACGGTCTCGAAGGTACCCGGGTCCTATGCCATGGAGCGCTTTAAAGGTGGTAACCAACACCTTGAATCGCACCCGGAAGACCACTGGGAGCCAGTGCAGCTTGCGGAGGGGTGTCACATGGGCGCAACGAGTTGCGCCCATAACCACCCGCGCGGCCGCATTCTGGACCAGTTGGAGCCTCCGAGTGCTCTTCAAGGGGAGCCCCATGTAGAGAGCATTACAATAGTCCAACCGGGAGGTGACAAGGGCGTGGGTGACCGTGCGCAAGGCGTCCCGATCCAGAAAGGGCTGCAACTGGCGAATCAGGCGAACCTGATAAAAGGCCCCCCTGGCCACGGCCGTCATGTGCTCTTCTAAAGACAGCCGTGCGTCCAGGAGGACACCCAGATTGCGAGCCCTCTCTGTGGGGGGCAAGGATTCACCCCCAATAGTCAGCGATGGCACCTGCTGACTATATCGGGGCGCCGGAAGCCACAGCCACTCGGTCTTGGAGGGGTTGAGTCTGAGCCTGTTCCTCCCCATCCAGGCCCGCACGGCCTCCAGGCAGCGGGACATCACATCAAGGGCATCATTGGGGTGGTCTGGGGTGGAGATGTACAGCTGAGTATCGTCAGCGTACAGATGACACTTCACCCCAAAACCACGGATGATCTCACGCAGCGGCTTCACATAAATGTTGAACAGGAGAGGCGAGAGGACTGACCCTTGCGGCACTCCCCATGCGAGATGCCTCGAGGTCGACCTCTGTCCCCCTGCCAACACAAATTGTGAGCGGTCGGAGAGGAAGGAGGAGAACCACCGCAGAACGGTGCCCCCTATTCCTAACCCCCTCAACCGCTGCAGCATGATACCATGGTCGATGGTATCAAAAGCCGCTGAGAGGTCTAATAGGACTAGGACAGAGGAGCAACCCCTGTCCCGAGCCCTCCAGAGATCATCCACCAACGCGACCAATGCCGTTTCTGTGCTGTACCCCTGCCTGAAGCCCGACTGGTACGGGTCCAGATAGATAGCTTCATCCAGGTGCCGGGGAAGTTGTCGTGCCACCACGCTCTCAACAACCTTCGCCACAAAACAAAGGTTGGAGACTGGACGATAGTTAGCTAATTCAGCCGGGTCCAGGGAAGGCTTCTTGAGGAGGGGCCTCACTACCGCCTCTTTCAAGGTGGCAGGAAAGGCACCCTCACTCAAAGAAGCAGTTATAATCCCCTGGAGCCAGCCTCGTGTAACCTCCCGGGAGGCCAGCACCAACCAGGAGGGACACGGGTCCAATAAACACGTGGCGGCACTAATCTTACCCAGAACCCTGTCCACATCCTTACCAGGCTTGTGTCTTTATGGTGCTTCAGGTTTCAACTACTTAAGAGGTCCTCATCAGGTATGTGTGGGACCTTTTAGCATAAGGACACCTGAGAATCTAAGACTGGAAACACGGGAGAGGGAGAGAAAAGGACTTGAGTTTAAGTAGAACATTTGGACAACCTTATCTGGGCTCAGAAGCCAAACATGATTAGGTCTGGTTGATATTTAGATGATGACTTCTACGGACTCTGATTCATGAGATTATATTTAAAAACAAATTAGACTAGAAAATCATGATTAAAAATCATCCTGTAAGAAGGCAATGGCAAATCATCCAATATCAAGAAAATAGCATGGATGTGTTTACTGATTTATTTATGCAAAATAGAACAATGTAAAGTTTAATTTATAAATAAAAAGATGCTGAAATTCTAACTATAATTCAATTATTTAACAATGAAGGAAAACATTTTTTCAATCTCCAATTTTTACCTGAAATTTTGAAATGATTCACATTTGCACAAGCTTATTAAAAGGAACTGATTTACATAACAATATGTACATGCCCAGGAATCATGTTCAGAACATTTTATTGAGAAGTTATTCAGAAAACTCTAATGGGGAACCCTGAAGGTGCTTTTTTCATGGGACAAGTGGGCTTTCTGTTTTTTCTTTGAAGATGTTTTGCTTCTCATCCAAGAAATTTCTTCAGCACTGCCTGGATGGTGGAGAATGGAAGGATTTAAACTCCTTGCAGACAGCTGGTCATTTGCATTCTTTTAGAGTTGTTGAGGCCACCTGGAGGTTTATCTGTGTCATCAGGGTCACCTGTAGTGCAAATGGGTGTGGAGCCTTCTTGGAACTGTTGAAAGGACTGTGTTGTAGACTGGAAATAGATGATGTTGTATCCCTTCCCCTCTGTTGAGAGAGGGCTGTTCAATTTTGACATAGATGGCCTCTTTGACCCCTCTTTCAAACCAGTGGTCTTCTCTCTCACCAAAATGTGGAGTTTGCTGTCTTCAAAAGAGTGGCCTTTGCTTTTAAATGCAGATGAACAAAGACAAAGTTGCCTCTTGAAAAAGTTCCTTTAGGACAACCATGATCTGGATGACTGAGAATCTCCATAGACGCTCTAATGGGGAAGTTTAATTAGTTCAAAAACATGCAGATACAAATCAACCCAAAACAATAAGACTAGTTTGCTTACAATCCAAAATAATGTCCTTGAGCTTGAGCACACATTTGCCTTGTAGAAACTAGGATGGAACTGAATGTCTCCTTACAATGCTGGAAATTGGGGTAAAACGAATCAAGTTACAAAGCTCCAGGAGAAATCAAATAGGACAGGAGAAAATAACTAGTTTGCAGCTGCTTGTTTTAGCTGTTTTAGACTCTTTTCTGTAAAAGGTTCAGTAATTATGCAGAATATTAGTACAGGTAGTCCTCAATTTACAACAGTTTGTTTAGTGACCATCTGAATTACAATGATTCTGAACAAAGTGACTTATGACTGTTTTTCACACGAGCGTTGCATCCCCCATGGTCATGTGATCAAAATTCAAATGCTTTGAATTCACACTCATATTTATGATGGTTGCAGTGTTCTGGGGTCATGTGATCAGATTTTTGCGACCTTCTGACAAGCAAAGTCATTAAGGAAGCCAGATTCATTTAATAATCATGTTATTAACTTAACAGCCAGAGTGATTCACTTAACAATTGTGGCAAGAAAGGTTGTAAAATGGGGCAAAATTCACTTAACAAATGTCTCACTTAGCAACAGAAATTTTGGGCTCAATTGTGGTCATAAGTCGAGGACTCCTGTACCTGCTCCAATGTTAACTTTCTTTCTTGTTTTTTTTTAACAGGGAGAGAGAAATTGGAGGGGATTGAGGTGGGGAAATAATTCTCTATGGAAGTAATAGGGTTGTTTTTTCTTGAATTACAATGGTGGAGGAGATACATTCTGTATTTTTTGTGTTCAATTACAACCTTTTAAATTAATAATATCTTAATTTTCTATACCAATATATTATCTTGCAATATACCAAGATTTGCTAACATCAATATTCTCTATGTCAGGGGTGAGCAATTAATTTTCCCAAAGGGCCATATGAAAAACTTGGACCATTGTGGAGGGCCATTGGCTCTCCCCATGCCAAAGGCCAGGCAACAACAGTCAAAGGGCCAGATGTAGCCTATGGTTCTGAAGAAATGCTCAGATCCAATCTATATATATTTGGAACATTAACATTCATTGTTTTTGAAGGTTTGTTTTATATAGATCCTAATTTTATTCTATTCTATTTGACCGTTTTATATACTTAGGTTGACAATACTGAATTGGAATGTAAGAGAGATATTATTAAATATAGATATTTAAATAGCTGATGTTATATTTATACAAGAATCTTGTACAGGTAATCCTCGATTTATGACCACAACTGCTCCAAGAATTATGACTGTAAGTTATTGTGGTTGTTAAATGAGGTGCTTGCATAAAGACAATTCTGGTTGTCCCTTTTGCAACTGTTAAGCAACTAACTACATGGGTCATTAAACAGGGCACGGGCTGTCTGGGGGGGGGGGGGGGGGAGTCCTGGGAGGATTGCACTGCAGCATCTGCACGGGTCCTCCCCTAGCTCAAGGCACCCCTCACATAGCTTGCTGCCCTGCTAAGTCCCATACCCTTAGACTTTCTCTACTGCTATCATGCCTGCTCCATTCAACTCTTCCAAAAACCACCTTTCCAAGAGTGACCTAATAATGTGACATGTGGTCTTCCTACAGAGGGTACCTTATGCCATTCTGGAGTGGGTGCCATTTGCATGATTTCTCAGAAAATGATTTTCCAATCCAATCTCTCAGGTTTTCTTTCTGAGAGATCGCGAGAATGGTGACTGTGTCCAGAATGGTGCAAGACAAACTCCACAAAATCCTGTGCAATGCATTAACTGCTTCTCTTTCTAAAAGGTGGTATTCAGAAGCTGCATTTTGGAAAAAGAGGTAATCGATGCACCATGTGGCCTTCCTATACAGAAACTACTTCAAGTTCTCCCAGAGCAGGTACCATTTTAGGAACACCTCAGAGAATATCTAAAAGAAGTTTTGTTCACATTATTTTGTCACTGGATATATGAAGAACTTTGGATATATTTGCTAGGAATATGGCCAGAAAGCATACTCATGGAAAAGAAAAAATATATAGTTATATTTCTATTTAGCTTTCATATAATACAAAGTATTAAGGTT